GGATGATTCGTAGGTCATTTTGGATGCTGAAGGAAAAAATGGTTATTAAGTTGTTTACGACCTTGGTTAGAGCGTACCTACGGTACTGCGTCTAGGCTTGACCTCCTTGTCTGATTCGAGACAGAATAGTTGTGGAGGGGTTTTGAGGAATGGTACCAAAATGTTCCGAGGGCTGCAGCACCTGTCCTGCCTTGACAAATTGCTTAAGCTAAACATTTTCTTCTTACACTAATGCCCATCTTCGTGGCGATTTAGTACTCACTTATACTAACAGAGTGGATCGACTCAGACATATCCTGGCTTTTTCATCTTGCTCAGTTAGCTAATCTTTATGGGCATTCTGTTGAATTTGCACAAATTCCGATCTGATCGGGTTCGGCCTCACACACGTTTGTCACGTAGAGTGAAAATGCCTGGAAAATACTACCCGAGGACGTTGTATTGCCACACACAGTTTCAGAGTTTAAACGTCTCATTGACGACCTCAACTTGCAGCTCCGAATCTTCCCTTTCTCTCCCTACTTTTTCATTCGATTGCTCATCAGTTCCTTTCCGCCTTAGTTAATCGTACTAAATTTTTCTCCAGCTTTTATATCTTCCACTTTATGGCTATACGACAAAGTCACGCTTTATTTTCTTATTGCACGTGGCCGGCGCAGTGGGGTCCGCTAGCGCAGGGCGCGTGGGTCTTGCTTGTTTGACCACGATGAGTTATGAACGTGCTGTGTCCGGGAAATGCACTATTTTAGCGAATAATCGATGGTTACCGATTATCGCATCGATTTCGAAGGTTGTGGTATATTCCAAGGCCTGCAGGTGATTGTCAGCCTCCTGAGGATGGGCCAAATCTATATGGAACAACTAACCTTGGAGGTTGACCTTCCTATCCCAGAAGTCGAAGGTCAGTAATAAACCTAGGAATACATCCAAGTTCTGCTGCAGTTGCAACGTGGTTGTTGCCAGCGGAGGTTACGTTATTTTGTCAAGATCATCGGCTTTCGGATTTTTCCTTCGGTTGGGCTGGAAGTTTTGTGAGGCATTGAAGTGCCTATTACGGAATCGCGTCCAACGGGAAGACGAGGACATGCTAATATAACCAATGCAACTGACCAATCATATACCGAACTCGAACGTTGATCAAGGACGCATTCAGAATGGAACGACTATGAGAATCTCCGTTTGTTCCTGCCCCATGTGAAGTTGTATATCTTCACCTTTTAACCTTACGCTCAAAATTGTCACAGAGCATTAACTGACCATATGTTCTCCTATTGTAGCGACTCACGAGGCAAGAATCACAGACGGAACGTAAAAGCCACGGAAAATTGGGAAGTGGGAAAATAACATGAGCACGGGGGACGGAAATTCGACAAAACGGCTTGTGGTCTACGGAAAAAGCAAGGAATGGTACATGAGTGACAAACGATATCATGTTCATGCCAAGTGGAGCGGGGATGCAGTGGAGGAGAGCCTGATTTTTCGGCTATACACGCCTTTGTTCATACCTCCAGTAATAACCCCAATGAGGGCGAAGCAACCCAGACTAATAAAGCAAGAGTAGTAAAATGAATTGTGTCCCGTCAGACTACGACGGGCGGCTGCGAAGATACCAGAGCAAATCGGTTAATATGACTTTGCGGACTGGATGCGATCACGGCATGGATGTGGCGCCAGCATCACCAACAACATTGTTACATCAGCCAATTGGACTGATGCTTCACTACCGTGTCAGCATGATAACCTAGGGGATGACGAATAATAAGGGGCATAGAAGGGGACCAAGCGTCAAATCTTAATGCAGTAAACAGTCATTCAGAGTCAAGGCGCCTACATCTTGTGTCATTAACATACCGCCTGTCCGGGAGAAAGTAAGAATTTCCTAAAGGATCTACTATTTTAGCAATTAGTAACGCTTATCGCATCGATTTCGAACGTTTCGGAATGTTTTCGTTCTGCATGGGACCAAAAACCACCTGACACCTCGGCAAAAGATATGGAGAACTACTAACCTTGGTAGCTGACCCTCCAAGTATATAAGTCGAAGGTCAGTAAGAGACCTATAAATACAGCCAAGGTCTGCAATAGTTGTATTGTGCTTGATCACGGCGGTTAATATGTTATTTTGTCAAGGTCATTGACGTTTTGCTTTTTCCTTTGGTTTGGCTAGAAGTTTTGTGGAGTAGTAAAGTGCCTATTTTGGAATCGCGTCTAGTGAGAAGATTATACCACCGAAACTAGTACCTGACTGTCGTACAATAATAAGGCAGCACCACCGTGACATTTTTCCCGCGACGTTCACCGCCCCACCTCAAAATCAGTCATTACTCCCAAGGTGACGCCAAAGGAGAAGGCAATGTGTGGTGCATTATGACTTGGAAATGTCTCTTATACGTGCGACCTCGCAAGCACCCGTTGTTCGCTGCAATAAGTCTTGTGTGTTCGTGTCGGTTTATCCTCACTATCCTACTGCTTCGCTGGTACTGTACGATTTCATAGTGCTCCCATGGTTGGCGGCATCCGGTTCCGGATTTGCATGTCATTGTGGCCAGCCACAGGACGCCTGCGCCTACAGAGGGACCATAGGTGGCTTGCGCTGCATCACACACTGCTCCAACCATACACCTCATATCCGGTGTAAACCCGAAGGAATAAGACCGTGAGGCATGCGGATGGGAGCCACGTTACATTAACCGAGCCGGCCCACACTCCCTCATACGCAAACGCAAACACGCTGTATTTGGGAATCAAGCGGACACAAGCCGATGACTGGACCGTAGTCCGCTCCACACTGAGTGCATGGAACCACTATTGGAGCCTAGTCCGGCCACTAGGATAGTGCACCCCGTCCCCTCCAGCAATGACCAACTGTGGCCTGGAGCCAGTATGGACGAGGTAGGGGGTAATAGACAGGTAGGCACCTTGTCAATATGCACATCAAGCGCAGCTAAACCGGGGATAGCAAGCAAAAACCAACCACTTGAAAAGACGATTTCAAATAAAATAAATCGTATAGTGCATACAGGTACGATGATATAAGTCTTCAATAAATGAGCGTATAAAATAAATCGGTTACGAACGAATCCGCGATAAGTTCAATACGTCAGAAAACGTATTTTAAGATAATGCACAAATGCGAAAACGAAATCAAAGTTAACTACAATTAACTTGCGCGATGTGTGTAAGTTACAAGAAGATAATACAGGTAAACATTAATGAGACAATATAGCAAACCCAGGGCCTGAAATAAAGACACTTGGCATTCAAGCAGGCGGTTAGTAAATCGAATGCCGAGTACCTACAAAGGTTGCACCGCTTCTGCCCACCTTCTCTGCAGCACACGTCGTCGTTTCGGTTTTGGCCCCGAGTGCCCAAGCTCATGGCTCACTAGACCTACCTGACTCAAGTAATCGCGACCGCATGTGCTACAGCACCATGCGCTCGATGTCTATAAAGTAAAACCCATCGACGCTTGCCGCTTCCACAATTGCCGCTTTCTCTGTGCAAGCACGAAGGCTTTCACTTGCAACTCGGCAACTGACTTTGTGATTAGGTCGCGTCATGCACGCCGATCAAGTACCTTCAATTCCCATGATCTGAAATCAAGATCAGAACGTGAGAGGCTCACTTTGATCATGTCCTGGTGACGTAACTTTGGTATCCGCACATGCCGTTTCCCAATACTCAGCGGACGATATAATATTTGTTTCGGTATCCGCGTCGAATCCATTTGACCCACATGACCGAATCACTGCAGATTTCTCAGCAAAATTATGCAGTTCACTGCATGCATTCCACTTCTAAGCAGTGATGCCCACTGCGCATGTATGCACCCGGCCCCCTCAAAATGGGCACCATGATTGTGGCTAGCCAAGTGATCAACGTGCATGAAGCAATGCGCGTGTCATGGGCATCGGAAGAGTTCGGCCGGGTCCCCCAACCAATTCATTCTTACTATCAATTAAGTGAGATTCATCGCAGCCAGTTTCCAAATCAGATAGTCTTGCACATGTCCGGAAACTGGTTGCGATGAACCTCACTTAATTACATCAAAATCCCCTACTCATGAGTACATCAAATTACTATCAATTCCCGAGTTGCCACTTGGGGAAAATAGGCTGCGCTCTTTTGGGCTACGCGCACCTCTATTTCGACTTAATGTGCATTTCTCAGATGGTTGAGTATCAAGATATTCGGCACTCTGGCTAATTACACTAGAACGCCCAAATCTGAATTGGTGTCGCTGCCCTCTGTAGTTATGACCTCCAGCTGAACCAATCGCTGTGGTATAAACAAAGTTTGTAAACACCGATCCGTGCCAAGCATACTAACCTAATAATCTGGTCATTGTTGAGTGATTTTCAAACAACCGATGCAGTTTCTCCGTCTTAACCTTCGCAGTCCAAAAGTCTCCACTAAACCGATACTTTCCCATGGATCTTCCTCCTGAGATCTATCGTAGTGGCAGTAACCGTGTTTTTGCGAGCTCATACAAGTATTCGTGCTCGCAAGTGTTACGTGCATCTACGATTGTGTTTAGGGGCAAAGCAACCGTGGCACGGCAACTGCATCTTTGGCGTTAAAGGCATAAGTTTGCTCACCTCCCACCCAGCAGAGCTTCGGTTATGCGAGTGGGAAGTTTTAGCGGTTACGTATTGCACATCCTTTATCAACGCAATAACGCTCGGTGGAGCACGGGCGGATAGAGTCCTCACTGATAATCGTCATTGCCCATAGGATGTGAGATAACTTCTCTCATCGCACTCACTTAAAGAGAGAGGTAACACTTAAGCAAGGTTAGTTAAGATTGGAAATTCCCGGAGCAGTTTCCTTCAACTCTACGGACTGGAGTTAAGCAAAGTTACCATGTCAATCCAGAGATTAATTTGTACCTAACCACAGCGGACGCACATATTTCTATAAAGAATTAGTGAGTCAGTGGAAATTTGAAATAAATGGTCTTGGGTAGTGAAGCATGAAACATACACAGAGTCAGCACTTACTTGTTCATACTCCTCCCCTTGACGCTGGTAACAGAGAACTACATGATTCTCATCGTCTTTGTCCAGTTTCACTTGGGTTGTCAAAGAGAAGCTCCTCGGCGCGGCCACACTGTCACTCACGTTGGTTGATAGTTCATGAACACAAGTGCTCATCAGTTGCTGTAATTCAACTTCCTTCTTTTCCAACTCATTCAATCGTATCCGGTTGGTTTTGCACATTGTCAAAGCAGTTGCCGTTTGTCCTGGATACGGTTGGCTCAAATCAGCCACACAGGTAACTCCTATGGTGACGCCATGTTGCCAGCGAGTAGTGGGAATGTCAGTTCGAATGATCGGAGGAGGACCGTGTGGTGGAATATGACTGCCAGCGAGCTGACATATAATGTCGAACAATTGGTCTCTTTTAATCTGAAGCGAAACATCATTCAGCTGTAGTCGGCATGCATCACAGTTAATGGCACCTGTAATTGATGGCAGAAGACTCGTAAAGTTGACAGGATCCATGACATCAGTCAGGGCTGTGTTGAACTCTTCAAATCGCATGTCATGTGGATGCGTGGTGGCCAACACCACATTTAGGCCCGCAGTACGCATGTATTTCAATAATTGTGAAGCCTCGGTGGTGATGTTTATACGCGCCTGAATGTCAACGGCGAGTAAGACAACATGGAAACGACCATCTGTGGAGACGTGTTTGATCTCGGCGAGATGTTCGATAACGTCTTGCAGCCAGATTGGAGGGGCAGAACAGCCAGTTATTTTGGTCACTGGTTTCACAGTCATAGAGTACAATCTCCGTACCAACTGCTCACGACTCAGGCCGCTACCGAACAAGATCGATTTCTCCGCCCCCAACTCACGATCCTTGAATACATTGTCACGTATCAGGTGCAACTGAGTGCCGGCCTTCCCTTGAGGCAAACCGAGGATCAGTTGCCGCACCAGACTGAGGTAGTAGTGCCCATAAAATTGGATGTGGTGTTCTGGCCCACCCTGCAGTGTGCACATCGCGAAGAGTCGTGAGCTGACCAGTACGGACAGATCGATTGGCACATGTTTTGTTGGGCAAATCATGACTGTTATATGCACCGTTTTATTGATGCTGTAATTCTTGCCACCAACCGTGTTGTTACCCCAACACGTATAAATGTAGCTCATCCCGCGATAACTGGGATCTCTGGGCACGATCAGTCGGGCATCTTGCACAATCAAACCCACCGCAGGTTGGTCCATGAAAGTCTTCTCTGGGCCACCCCAACCACCAGTACCTGCGGGTAATAGACTAGCGTCATCCCATTGTGGGGGAGTTGGTAGATAAGGCCTTCCGTGAAGACGAATCCACGTGTAAGTTAGATGAGGGAGACCATATCCACCTGTACAGGTGAATTCCGTACCGAGTGGCACTGGTTGTGAGGCATAATCACGGGATACTGTGACGATGGTAATGTCCCCGTTGGCTGGTTCTCGAATCGTGTAGGCCACTTCACAAACAACAGTCCGCCTGTCCGCTGGTGATGTTACAACACTGTATGTACCGACACAGTCGACGCGCAGTGGTCCTTTGTAGAACCTTGAGAGCAGACCAATAATCTCGTACACAACTACGATGGAAGTTGAATTCGCAGTCTCATTTTTTAGTGTACTGTGCACCTTGATGCCTTCTAAGCCACCAGTTAACTCGTTTATCATCCAATGTTGTAGATCGTACGACGGATTATACCACGACACGAACCGCTTATCGAATGTGCACCACACGAATGCCGATCGGTTGGCTTCCAAATAGCCCAGAGCGTCTGAGTTTGTCTCGTCTTTTGGCAGTTCCATCTGCCCGTTCATATCCATTGATAAGTGACAGCTAACACTCGAGTTGTCAGGTAAGATATGGATTGGTCGTATAGCGAACCCAACATCCATGACACTAACACTTCGATTGACATCCCTACATGTGTAGTTTCCCGACTGGTTGTATACAACTTCAGTAGCGACGAAACGGAAATAGTCCCGCTCTTCGTTCGGCTCCAACGTAAAACGTTCCACTGTCAATGGCTTGTCGTTCAGAAAGCACTCGATGGTATCCGCGCTTCGACTCCCGAGACGCCCGTGCACTACAACCGAACCACCGATAGGGACGCTTGAGATCCAGTGTGCACGAACACGAGTGAGCCGATGACTTGCATTGAAGCATTGTGAGCTTTGTGTCGCATTGAGGTGCTCACTTTTCAATCCCAGCCAGTCAGAGAGGTTGCGGAGCAGTGCACCTCTGATCAGTTGTTCTGCACTTGATCGGCTCATCCCGCTTCCACCTGTGTGTACGGCACTGATTATGAGAGCTTCGTGTTCAAGGCGTAGAAGACAACGGGCTTCTGTTCTCAAGGTCGCAGAACTGGAGACCGAGATAGATAAAGCTGTGCAGTTGTCTAACTGTAAAATACCGTTGTGGTTGTATACGAACCATAGCGCGATCCAGCCCGGTGGTACCCCCATATCTGCGTCAAATGAAATATTAATTGGACCCTCGAAAGAGTTTGTGCCGCTGTAGAATTTGGCGGTGGCAAGAAAAGCTTTCTTGTTCATGTGAGTGGCTGAAGAACTTTGTAGCGCCTTGGTCATCCAAGGAAGGCTTGTGTGTATTGTATCTGTGAGTATGACTGGCTTTCGTGATTGTGCAACCCTGAGCTCTGCTTCTTTGTGAAATGTTTGCGCCTTAATTTCCCCCACCATATCATGCACTATGCGAATGCTTTGAAAGTGTAGCTGACAACTCACTCGCAAGGTGACCATGTGCTCACTCTCCGGAAGACTTGATGTGTACAAGAGTAGAGTTGCATTGGTCCAACTTAGTTGGTCTGGAATGAACACTTGCTCAGTGGACTCAAGCTCTTGCAGTTTGCTCTCCAGACTCTTCGGGGTGGATGCAATGGATGTCTCGAACCTGAAGTCCCTTGCTGAACCTACTGCAGTGTAATAGGTACAGTAGATTGGTTGCGTAGTTTTTGGTGAAATAACTACGGATGAAGCTGAACCGCAACGGCTGCGCAAATGCGCCAATTGTGCACTCATGTAAAAGTGCAATTGCAACACCGATTCATCTGGAATAACAAGCATTCTTCTCTCAACGATGCCTAAGTACTTTGGACAACCCCCTACACATCCGCGTAGCTCACATTTATAGCAACCCGAATCAGCGAATTGTGCTTTCTCTACTATCAGCAAGAAATAGTTCTCTGGTATCATTTTGTGAATGACGAAATTTTCTTTTTTTATTAATGGTATACTCGCATGTTTTGGTCCGAAATAACACAAGGGTTCTCCCTGACCGTTTTTATGGAGAACACCAAACATTTGAGCTTTGTTACCAATGAGAACACTTGCATTCCAACCGATTTGCAATTTGAGTAAGCGGTACTCACCGTGTGCATGTGACGGAAAGGAGACTACAGTGTCGACAGAATGTCCCTCGCGTGATCGCACTACCTCGATCGCTGAGCGACATAAGTCTGCGTCAACTCTCTCCACATCCACGCCCACGAGAACGGAGTTGACAACATAAACAAATAGAGCAATGTGCTGTGGCTGCAGGGCGCAGACATGAGTATAAAATTGGGGTACGATTTTTACTCCATTCAACTCGAAGGACTCATTCACGAAGGGCTTCAGGTCGGAAACCTCGCACAGTTCAGTGATCAGTTGTTCCGAATGGGCTCGGATGATGTAAGTTCGTGTCCAACCACTGGGCTGTCCTAACTGTACCGTATAGTTGATGGTGAAGAGGCCTTCGTGTAGAAGGCGTCCACTAGCGTGTTTGTGGAAGCTGATCCCGTCTACCTTGGAAGTTATGTTATGCTGAAGCAGAGCAGTGATGTCTTCGTGATCCGTGTATATGGAATTGTTCCAGAATGAAGCAGCCAAGAGTGGCACAACTTCGAGTACCCTGATGCGCTCATATTGTTTCGACAGCACACGTGTGCTCATATCATCTTGCGGTGGCACGGATGAACAGAGGAACCGACAACCCAAGCGAAGCGACATATTCGTCGCATCTATCGGTGGCGCGACAACTTGGTATGATATGCTTCGCAAATGACCAACAGATGTGTTCAAATTGCGCGGTGGCAACGCAACCATGGTTGCGTTAATAGCTGACTGCTCCTCGGCTGAGCTGCTTAAACAATAAAATGTGATCTCAACTGGCAGGCTTGCCCCCAATGCCGTGGTGACGACGCAATGTGCAAACAAGCTTCTGCTTTCGTACACAAACGGTCGCCCGTCAGCACGCACATACGGGTAACTGTCACTGGGTGGTTGGTCCTCCGGAGTGAGTTGGTTACTAATCTGCACCCCGATCTTAGAATCTGTGGGTAAGACTATCAAGTGGCGGTCTGGGTTGCATGTGGAGCAGCGTCGTGTAGGACATGCGTATATTCCAGCGTCGCGGACCGTGGTGACTGGTTTGATGAGCTCAAACGCTTTGAACCTTGAATTCATGAGAACACGAAACTGTCCGAGCGAGAAATCGATTTTAATGGGTTTCGCATTCACCTGACTGCGATAATAACACACAGGCACATCTTGCATCGTATTGCTGGTAGTGGATCCGGAATATATAAACGGTGCTCCTTGTGGTATCACCGCCGGCCATCCGACGCTAATGCGGACAATTTGATACAATGCATTCAGTCCCGTTGGTAGTCGAATGGGTTGGTTTATTGGAGTCCTTGTCTTCTGTACCCATGATTGGATACGTTCTGTTAGTGCCTTCAAGAGCAGCTGACTCACATATGTGGCTGATTGACGGTAATCAAAGCTGTTCACGGTTAATATCAAGAGGGTAAAATGCTCTGGTTTCACGACACAGACAGAAGAGCAGCTGACGTAATTTTGCCCTAAAGACTCCATGTACAACTGAGTGTTCTTCATCTCTGGTGGGACATTATACTCATCGAGGTAGACAACCGAGTTTGATTCACACACATCGGCGTGTAGCAGTGTTTTTGTCATGCGGACGACATAGACTGCGGTCAAACCTCTTGGCGTCCCAAGACTGGTGGAATGATTCAACTGCCAGAGCCCTTCTAACAAACGCTGAGAACCAGCCGTATCATTGAATGCTTCGGAAGTGAAAACTGAGTTGGCTGTCTGTTTTCTAAGTGCCCGTCCAATACCGGGTAAGGTTGATCGACTAAGCGATGTAAAGAGATCTGGTTTAAACCGGACAAAAATGTGGATAGAATAGATGGTGGAGAACACATACGGCAACTGTGGTGGGTTGCTATCTTGAGGGATGATTGGTAGGCGGGCATATTCCAGAGAGCAGTTTATGTGTATCTGAGTACCAGCCATGACGGACAGTGGCACATCTAACCGGTAAATGTGCCTGTTTCTTTCCCCGTAAGACATCCATAGTTCCGCTTCATTCAGCCGTCTGACGGTAGGCTTGTCTCCTTTCGCACTCCCAGACGATTGCATGGAACATTGATGCTTGGGTTGGGTAGTATGCATGAACAAAGTTGGGTATTCAACATAGAAATTAGTATGGTCCCCGTTGCGCACACATGGAGTCCCTTCAAAGTTACACTGCTCATATTGACTTTCCACATCCTGATCATCACCGAGCACCTTCGGATTAATGGCAAGTTGCATGATGGTAGCGTCAGGGAGCACAGAGAGTCTGCGGGGTATAAACCCGATTGTGGGTACACAGTCAGGACAGTCCCGTTGAGTGATGTTGCAAGAATACTCTCCGGAATCCGTGTACTCCACATTTTGTTTGACCAAGTGGAATGCATTGGATCCTTTCAGGTGGACTATCTGCATGGACCGATCGATCGACACAACTTTGTTTTCATCGTGAGCATATCCATGTTTGTAACATAGGATCATTTTGTTCGCATTAGTTACATTGTCTCCTCCTTCCAGGTAACCAGGTAGTACTATTCGACTTCCCACACGAACTGACGCAGCCCACTGAACGTCGACTTTGGTTGTCCGCATGGCAGCGTACGATTCATGCGGCACTTGCACCATATGCTGCGTAGTGCTTGTCGGGTCGTCAAACCACTCACGTGTCACGTGGACGAAGGATCTTATCAGTTGTTGTTCCACCTCCGCCTGTGTCAGGCTTGGTGGATGCAGGTTGTACGTTGTCACTGTCATCGCTACATGCTCCCACCGCAAGAGACACCGAAAGGTGATGCGTGCGAAGTGGAGACCCAATGCGGGCACGTACGCCTCGTCGCCTTTCATTTCCGAAGTTAGTGTGTCCTCCGTTAGGTTGACGACGCTCGTGGTTCGGCACCTCTCCGGCACCACAGACCCCTTGTGTCGAAAAAGTACCCAGGCACCGAAATACCCTCTAGGAATGCCTAGTGCCACTGGGATAGTCCATTGGATGACACTCTCATTCACAACCTGCGGATGTGCGTAATTGTGGAAATCGATGGCTCGGCTAGTCTGTCCGCTCAAAGCACGCAACCGAGATTGCAGCACTGAATTTTCTGATTCAACCAGTGTGTGGAAGATGTTTGGTCGAGCAGTCGGTCGAAGCATCACTAACTTGTTTATAGTTATCGGCGGGATAACCACAGTTGAATCGTTGAGGGCGAGATGCATATTGCACCAGACTGTGATGGTACCTGAAAATTCTTTTAACAAGGGAGCCGTTAATTCATGTGTCATGAGCTGCCTTACACTTATGTTAGAGATCTGTTTCAGTTGGAAAAACATGGACACATTATTCGGTTCATGCCATCCGCTTTTGGGGTGGAAAGAGATATTCGTTGCAACTGACCAAGCAAGCGCTCCTTTTGTGGGTCTAGGATATGAGCAGTGAGCATACGCTTTATCCCCGTTGTCCAGCAGTGCATTTCCACTGGAGTCGCACGTGTGGTAATTCCCACGCCATTCATCCTTCATCGAAATGGGACGATGAGTTAGAAAAAGTTTTATCTGTGTTTTATTTGGTAAAACGATCAGCAGTCGCTTTACAAAGCCGTATGTCGGCTGTTCTGAACCCACTCGACACACATAAGTGCCCAAGTCGGCAAACTGCACATTCTCCTTTGACAGATAAAATCCAACTTTAGTAGTGGCAGATGCAATACGAAAGCCATTATCAATCGGATTACTGAGATCACCATAGACAGACTCAAATGTGCATTTGATCTGTTTGATCGACGTCGTTGTCACGTAACCCAGCAATTGCACATGTTCTCCTGTCGAAACTACTGATTTCCAAAGTACATGAAGGTGGATCATGTAGTAGACCAAACCGGTGTTTGGGGGCGACACAAAGGTACTCGTTTCGAAGTTAGCAGGATTACTTTTCCACCCAAGCACACTTTTACTCAAATGTGAGCTTAGCATATCCACTTTTATGTGAGACTGACCATCAAAAGTGTTATGAGCAATAAAAGCAACGGCCACAGACTCTTGGTTGAGAACACACAAGAAATCACTTTTCACTAAATTAGCATCACGAATGTACAGGTTCGAGTGACGTGTGCGAATGCTGAGTGGCACAGACTGATGGGTCAACTTCTCCCTGAGTACTTCCACACACGGTTTATCGATCTCGTTCTCACTCGACAAGTAGACAAGACCGATTACCTCTCCCCTAGGAATACCCAGAGAAGCGACCAAAGTAACCTTCACCACCGACTCGTTGATTGTTGCATTGGCCCGATGAAAATGATAGGCAGACGCGTTGTTCTTCCTTGCTCGCGCAAAAGCACGTTGGATGGGTAGGACGTCACTTTCCATCTCATTGATGTAAATAGATGGTGTCAATCTGGTCTCAAATTGGACCGTCTTTACTCGCTTCACTGTTGGGAAGACTTTGGGTTCTGTTAAGTCTATTTCTTCAAAGGCGCTGTTGTCCACATCGGCTGAACATACGAGGCTAACTGGCTCGTAGATGCTGTCTAGTTCGGGTCCTGTGACCTTGTATCCCACAAGCACATAGTCCTGCTTCGTTACATTTTCGACCAAAGTAGTGCGCAATTCAGTCATTGGGTCACCCACTGTTGAATTTATACTAGCTCTGAACTTGATAGTCACACTTTCTGCTAAGCCAGGAATTGGTCGGTAGTAACACCATACAAAGAGATTTTGACCATGCATCACACGAATATCGTCGCGGTTGTAGAAAGACTTGCGCTGTAGATCGAGATCATTCTGCAGACTGAGCAAGACCTCCATGTCTTCGTCCTCCGGGAGCACCAGCAGTCGTTTAGGTGCTGCCATTATTAATCCGGGACACCCTTGCTCGCACGAAGAGTGGTTACACGTGTAATAGCCAGCGTGGTCCAACTTGGCAGGTTGCGACCTGAAAATGTATTGCTGTTGGGTAGTGGTCTGATTTATCAAAATCCAGCTGTCAAGCGCCCTGGCGCGGTAGTAACAATTTCTGCTCACCTGTTCACCAGGTCCTAGAAAACGCATTAGCATAGTCCATATGGAACCACGCTTAACCGTTCCATACCATCCAACGTGAAGACGCTGGATGCGATAATCTCTGTGTACATTGCGTATACTGCTACTAAATGACCTCTCCACTGTGTCAACAGGATTGTGAAACCAACTTTGAATTGTTTCGGTGGTTGAGGTCAATAGGTTGCTCTCCACTTCCGCTTGTCTTTCGGACGGACCGGTGAATGCCATGAGAACCAAGGCAACATGCTCCGGTCGCAGGACACAGATGAAGCTGGCGTTGATAAACCCCTTCCCATTGGAGATCGTATATTCCTGCCGTTGTTTCATCTCCGCAGGCAATCTGGCAGCCGTCAAGGCAACCAGAGACGACTGGTAGCAGTCCTCCGATTGAAGTCCGTTGTGTTGGAAGAACGTCCACAATACCACCTTACCGGTGGGCATCCCAAGGAAAACAGTTGTATGAATAATCAAACGCAGCTCGAGCATCCTTTTCGGGGGTCCAATTTTATGGAATTGAGCCGCACTCATTGCTCGACTTCCACGTGTGTGGACAAAGCTGGTGATCACTTTCGGTTCATTCGTGTGGGTAAGATCGTCGAAAATGACGGGTTGTAATAGAAGTCTGTACCCAACTTTTCTTGTACTTGTCAAGTTAATTCCTTCCCTGGGTCCATGTAGATCGTGCAAAATGTGTCTTGCCTCATCGAATGAGAATACACATGTAAAATATAACTCACTCAGATGTGAATTCACCTCCGGAGCAGTGACGGTGTAGCCGGTCACACGAAGGGCTGTCTGATTGACATTGAAGCTGAAGTCTGCCTCAAGTTTGGAAGACATGGTGTAATTCATGCTTTTGTGCCTATCGATAGCCTCGTAATTCAGATAGACACTCGGTTTGAGCATCCAAAACGGAGATAAATGGTGCACACATCGAACGCTGACTACCTCAGAGGAGAATAGGTACGGCTGTGATCCATAGTCACATTGATTAAATTGATGTTCTACGCTTTCACCGGTATGGAGTTTGGTAACACTTATCCTCACCTCTAACATGTCCTGAGAAGGTAATACAAACTGAGCTCGCGGTGCGAACCCGATTCGAATGGGGCAACCGTTGGCACATTTCGGGTCAAAGCATTCATACAAACCCGAGTCATGGTATGCAGCCCCCTCCTTACTGAGCACAAAGCCTGATGCATCATCGGTAAAGTTCATGGATAAATCGACTTGGCCAAACACCGGATCTGGTCCGCTCTGTTCCAATATCTTCGTACAGTTCAGACCTACACGTATGCTCTGCCATAAACGACCTTTCATTTCCAAAGAATCATTTATGTTGGCAATCGCCTTCCATCGCACGTCCACTTTGACCACTTGGTATCTGTCTCTTGCGATTGCTGTGAAAGGTCTTCTTTTAGTTTCCGTTGATTTTCCAGAGACTGGTAGTTTCGTGAACCAGTCGATTATATGTGATTTAAACTCCTTCTCCTCCGATCCTTTATCGAACGAGTTCAGTGCCGTTGTGACCAGTCCTAAGTGTTCGATGACAAGCCAGCACTTCAAGTGCAACCATCTCATATTGCGCCCACGAGTTTGCACAGTGATATCTAGACCAGCGATCAGGGGATCGGAACCGTTTATGCTAGTGTTGTTGACATCTTCACAGGGCTCTAATTCTACATCCGATCTTTCCCTATACACCAACCATGACTTCAGCTCACCAGGAGGAAAGCCGGTGAAAACAACAGTGCTCAGTTCAACCGGCCCCTCAGTCAGCACGACCGCTTGCACGCTTTGGTTCCACAGCGCCTGATTTACATACCCTGACTCGGTGAGTCGAATGTGTTTGGACAAATTGGAGTCACCCGTAGTCAAGTTGTGAAGAAACAATGGTGCCAAACGGTCTTCCACTGTAATGTTTCGCTCCTGACCAACTTTTGGGATTTCATGCACCGATGTGATGTCGAACTCGTCGCGTGTCACCACACTGGTGTCCAGATAACAAGTCACACGAGTTGTGCCCCAATTTAACCTGGGTTCTACTCCAGTGATGTGGAACCGGCCTACAGTTTCAGCTCCCACTTCTTGTGCGGCGGGGGTGTACGGTAGGCTCAAGTAGGTTCCGTTAGGCTCGACGAGTGTATCGTGTGTGAATTGCCATTGGAGTTGTGGAATGATGCCAAGTGGTAGAGTGATGGAACAACTAATGTTCACCGCTTGATTTGTGATTATAGTTGGCTCGCGCTCTGGTTTATGAGCCATGCGTTTGTAATCCATAGCTATCTGAACGTCAGCGGAGGACGGCAAAACCACCAACCGTCGCGCTGGACCGAGTGAATTCAACTCGCAACTGTCACATAGTTGCTGGTAACAAGCGTACAATCCGGAGTCTTCGGCAACGCTGTTCTCCTTCACAAGCATGACCACGCCGTTATCTCTTGTTTCATTCACAAGGAACCCCGTGGGCAGTGCTCCTTTAGTCGGTATTTTACTCTGGTCGAAATAGCACATGACGATTCCGGTCAGAGCGCCATCCGCTATCCAGTGTATCATGGCTGGTGAACCAGCGGATAATGTCGCATTCCAGCGGCTGTATAATCTCACCAAACGATGATGACTCACCAGCCCAGCTGTATCGATGGCTTCCCACGTAGCACTGTTGCTTCGGTTATATTGTGTTAAGACCGTTAACAGCCGTTTTATGCAACTACCCTCAAGTGTATTTCTCTGATGGCTCATTTTTTCATCCACATTATACACACTTAAAACTAGACCAACAGTTTCGGGGGGCATGGCGCACGAGAAGGTGACGAGGCTAGCGACAAAAGTCACCGTTTCGTCATCTGCCTCTGGTGAGTTCAGGATGTTGGTAACATCCCTACCGGCTTTCAGTTGTGAGGTGACTGAGCAGTTGTGCCTTACCCACTCGCCATCATCATCGACTCTTATAGTCCACACGGAATCCCAACCGAACTGTCTGTAGCGGAGCGTGACAAAACTTCCTGTCAGAAACATCACACTAGACACAGTTTGCGGCACCATTGAACGAAAATTGAAATGTCTATCATAGCGTGATTTCGGTTGTGTAAGCGTTTCCGTGACTGTTTTCAATGAGGTTCTGATGGTCAATGTGACTATTTTTGGCTCCTTTCCGTTGCTATGAAATACCACCCGTCGTTTATAAGCTAAGGCACGTCTAGGAATTGTGTCTGGATCCTGACCTGTGACCTTGGGATCTGGTTTGAAGTGGTGTACGCAGTTAATCGATTGGGATGTAATCTTATTAGTTCGGATGTGTGGGGTTATTCGGTAAACCCTGTACGTCTTCCTGTATATACCTTCATATTCGCTCCATGTTCGGAGGTGCGCAAATGGCAACCTAATTCTAGTGCCATAAAGTAGGTGTACGAGGTTTAAATCACTCATGTTACCAAATAGTGTCATCAAGTCAAAAACGCAGTTGATAAACATAGTTTGTTTATCCGTTAGGTACATTCTACCTCTGTAGTCTACTTGCCGCCAAACTGGGGCAGTTATGTTGCCTCGTTCGTATGCATATGCGGATGCCACTAATGTAATAGCCTTCTCTCCAGACAGTACGAAGATAGGGTAGTCGATGATGACATTTCCATACTCCGGTCTCTTGTAATCGCATTTGTAAATACCAGTGTGTTGCCGCGCAAGGGACTTGATTACGAAGGTATTCTCTTTTTCGGCACAGTACAGCTGATCGGTTAATTCGTATTCATCCTCTATACTGTTCTTTTTGTAGCATTTAGTTTGCGCTTCACATCCGCCCGTTGTTTCGTTACTGCCTTTCCACAAATACAGGACAAATTTTTCTCCCTCCATAAATATAGTGTTGCGTACGGGGGATAATTTAATTAAACGTAGTGCAGGATTACCGCCACTCATGTATTCAAACCGCATTGGCTCGTTCCTTAGAAAAGACTCTAGATATGGCTGAATGTACTTGTATGACTGGTCCATACCACCTTCAGTATCTGGCTTGAATCCTACCAAAACCAAGAGAGCCACAGCGCGCATGGGGATTTTTAGCCAGAATTCCGATAAGCGATCTGCCGATTGCCAGCTAGCACGTACTTGAATTTGTTCGGTATACCTCCACGCGGCCGGTTCTGATGCTTCATACTCCGAGCTGGCTATTATCATGTGATGCGCGAGACTGTACGTGTTATCTAGGAAATATAGGAAGATCCGGATATCCCAATTATAGTTCCGCCAATTTCGAATCACCATCCTTTCGAGACTGAATTCTTTTACTTTCACCGCTGAGTTTAGAAATCCTTCTAGTTCAACCGAACGGGTCTCGGGAACGTTGATTTGTTTAACCAAAGCGCCGTTCGAGCCGAAGCTACCGTTTTTGGCAATTTCCCCACAGGGTAATCCGAATACCTCCTCCGTGAAAGCAGCTACGTATCGTTTCACACCATCGGGTGTGTCTAACTCATAAAAGAGCACAGTGTCTTCCGCGTACGAACTTACAAAATTGACTTGATAGGCAACATCCGTGTAGTGGATTCCACCTCGACCATACCCATGATTGTAGGAGTACAGTACGTAATGGCAGTATAAATAGGTTGAGTAACGCGTGCTTCGGTCAAAGTGACAACAATGTGAGTTAGGCCCATCGTAAAAAGTGCAATGTAAGAGGACCTCTCCAGTCGTCATGCGGGTCGCATTGAAACTCACAATGAAGGCGGGGTACCACAATCGGACTGACAAGTACATTCTGTAAAGAGCTGAATCCTTAGGATACCTAAAGTCCATTGAAAGATAATCCTTTGCCAGGTAAGCTAGATCATCGGAATACAAATGCTGGTTGGGATAATATGGCATCCTCATGCATGTGCTCAGAGCCACTTGTATTAACTGGTATTTTAGTATGACGCATATCCAAAACGAGTAGATAGATATGTTCCAGTCCGGTGTCACCGTCTTTTTCATGAACCGCAGAATGTATTCATATGATTTCCCACTCTCGAGACTGTCGGTGCTAGTTCATTTGAATACACTCAGCCTCTAGAAGGATGATCGATGATGAGATGTGGTCACAACCCATGATCGTACTATGGCTCAATAGTGTCAGTTCAATATTCGCACACGTGATTCAACCGTTGACAAAGTGAGCTTGGACAGGGCCGAATGTAAGCAAAGACAGACTAATGGACTACACAGCCGTTAGAAAAACCGGTCATGTCAGGGACCAAGGAAGCGAAGTAAACCAAGGCAATTTGGAATTTTATCACCTATAAATCTTCTTTTGTAAGGTGAGACAAGTGTGAATTTTTATGTCCCCATTTTCCATCACACTTGCTAAACCATTTAACAGCTGTTAGACGTTAGAAACAGGAAAATGTTGACAGTTACGGAGCTTGAGCCAGTTGATGAACAATGAACAATGAATTTATACGGGTTAAGAAGCGTTGCTTTACAAGCCCCGTTGGATAGTTGCAGGGGATATTAACACAACAATAATGGTGAAAAGGATAGTAAAATAGTTAATACTTCAATATGAAAATAAGGACTTATCGTTTGCTTCGCTGTAGTCCTGCAATCCTCTTAGATTCACAACACCCACAGTTAACAGCAAATAATTCCAGGGTAAACTCCAGGTGTAGGATGGAGACATAGTGTTAAGTAACAAAGTGTAAGTGGATGAGTGCATCGTCCAACCGTCTTTTAAATATTGTTAGTGTCGGTGCAGAGACGACCGATTCTGGGCGAGCATTCCACGGGTGACAGACACGAATGGAAACGAAATTTCTGCGGCACTCCAGACGACTGTATTGTTCTGCGAGTTTCAATGAGTGGCCCCTCAGGTTTGTATGGTTACTGATTTGCAGTAAAGGGTGGCACATATGATGTGGGTCTCGCAGAATCAAGTATGCCATAATCAGGTCGCCTCGTAGTCTGAGATAGCTTCCAGTGAACAATCCCAATCGTTGCAGCCTCTTTTGGTAAGAAAGATTGAGCATTCCAATTACCTTCTTAGATGCCCGGCGTTGTGGCTGCTCCAGTGCATTAAGGTCGTGTTTCAGCCATGGATGCCAGGCTTGAATTGCGTATTCGACATGGGGGCGAACGTACGCACTAAGCATCTGTCGAAATATGGAGCTGTTTATTTGTCCAAACGCCCGCCTCAACAGCTCAACGTGTTGGTTCCCGGTCTTCGAGGCCTATTCGGATTGCCTGGAGCAACCCAAGTCATCTTGAACCAGGACACC